TTCATCAGAATCATAAATACAGAGGTACTTTCTGAAGGCCAGCCTTAATGGAGAGTTTTGAAGAAACTTTTAAAGAAAAAGGAACAATTAGGGGATTTTGCAAAAACCGGGATTTCTGCTTTCTTCATGGTACGATCGCACAATTTCCCATCAAATGCAGACATAGTGTTCCAGTTGTTGGTCACTGTGCCCTCAGGGGGAAAGAAGAGTAGATTAATTTTGTCTTTGTAAGCAGGCAACCTCATCTTCTACCTAAATTCCTAATTCAGCTCATTTTGCTTGAGCCTGCATTATGTTGCTCCTTTACAGTGTTGCCTCCATGTCATACAACTCTGCAGCCTTGACATTCATGGTAATGAGTGAATTTGCGTCCAGTGCACATAATCTGGAATCTTTCATCTTGGCCATGGACCTTGCACTTTGCTATATAATAAAGTACAACCGTCACTACAATTGCAACTGTACTATAACACTACTTTACCTTGTATCTGTTGTAAAGGATTTCATCTGTATTGGATTGGATACTATTGTAAAAGTTACTATTTTACTATACAGTACTGAAATCAGCTAATATAGCAAGAGCACCAAATGTTTATTAAATTAACAAAAAATTTTTATAGACTTCTTTAATTTAAGTGTTAAAGTACCCTACTAAAGTGGAAATCTGAACCTAGATAGACTTTTCCTATAAAAGATAGGATGTTGAGCCTGTGCGAGAGATGAATGCTTTTCCCTTTTTGTTATTGTGTAAAATAATCAGATTTTAAATTATATAATGTGCGCCAAAAACAAAAAGATACACATATCTGATAGCTATGGTTGTAAAGGCTGAGTTTTCCTGAAAAGTTTATAAAACTGATTTATGAAAAATGCATCTGTACAAAATGTAAGCTTTGTAATGCTTCCAGGGTCAGAAAGACCCATAGTAATTGTTTAAATAACTAAAAATGTTCTGTATGGCGTGATTTCTCTATGGCTTCAGAAATTGCAGGACATGAGGAGGGAGTGTTCTCGGTTGGCACAGTTTCTTCTCCTTCTGCTTACTCCCTTTACCCTCATGCGAACATTCTGTCTCTCCTTACAGTGGTGGATAATTCTTTCTTGGAGGTCGTCTACAATAATGAGCCTTTTTATTAGGAACTTTTCACATTCATCTTGTTTTGTGATGTAAAATAAATGCATCAAATCTCTTTCAAGTTTATTTTTAAAGATCAGCATTTTCCTCTATTAATCATGTTTTAAGATTTAAGAATTTGTCTTTTTGAAAGAAGTCAGTTTATTTTCATTAGGAATGGCTTCCTACTAAACAACATATAATTATGTCTTATGTTTTGTCTTAGGTTCAGTTTATTTCAGTGAAATGAACATCAATATAAGTTGAAAGGATAAATGGTTGATTTTTAAAAAGAAAAATCCAAAATGCCATCTTTTTCTGAAGAATAGACTTGTCAATTTTAAGTCTCTTAAGGATATTTTGTGTATGTATAAATAAGGGTATTCTGTATCTTTGTTTTTGTAAATATCTTTGTTCTCAGCTGCAGAGTGTGGTGACAGTAACATAACAGGTGCTTAGTAAATATTTGTAAAATGAAGAGCCATTCCCTACCTACGTTCATTGATATATGCCACTTCGATTCCATTGCACTCCTATAAAAAACAAATATGTCATCAGCAAGAATCTTTATCTGGTAAACTCTTACAGTCTTTGTATGTCTGAAAAATTTCTCTAATGATATATTAACTGGGTATAGATTTCTAGGTTGACCGTTTTTTCTCTCTACATGTTGATGGCATTATCTCATTATCTTCTTGTTGTGGCGATGGGGTTAATGAGAAGTCCACCTTTAGTTTGATTACTGTTGCTTTGTGGGATATCTTGTCTTTCTGGTATTTTAAGACATTCCCTTTATCTATGATATAAAAAGGTTCAGATTTATTTTTATTTTTTTGCTAGAGTCTCCTTTTTTCGTTTGAGGATTCATGCCTTCTTCAATTCCCCACCATTATCTCTTTGGTGTTATCTCTTCCATTTTCTCTGTTTTGTTTTTCTAGTATTTTAGAAATTTTGTGTCTTCTGTCTCCTAATTTCTTTTTCTATCTTGTTTTTCCCTTTTCCTTCTTTCTTTCTGGTTTGACCTCTGTACTTCACTCTGAGTAATTTTATTCTACCAGTTTATCAACTATCATTGTAGGTAGGGTTGTTAGTCCATTGTTTAACCCATATTTTGACTTTGTTTCTATCTCTGTTTTTCATTTCAAAACTATATTTCCTTTTTAGAGTTTGTATTTGGTTCTTTCTCAAATCTGCCTATATATTATTCAGTTCTTAGTGATGGGTTCTATCTTTTCCTTTATCTTCACATGTGAATGATTTAAAGTCTCTTCCAGACTGCTTTATTTATAGTTTCTCAGGTGTAGATTCTCACATTTGTTGCATCTGCCCACTTTCATGATGGAGGGTTTTATGTGATCCTAATAATTTTTGCCTGAACTCCTCTCCTCCTGCCCTCAATTGGAATCAGAAGCATTCTCTAAATTATGGAAGTCTTCCAATGGTATATTTTTGTAATTGCCTTTCATTGAGGTCTATGATTTTCACTGGTTCTAGGCCAGTTCTTTATGTTAGTTTTTATCTTAGATCTCCATGTCACCCGGGCACTACAAAATAAGATTCCACAAATGGCATTGGCTGGGCATTTCATCTTTTTGCCAGTGATTCCTTCTGCACTATCTGGAATGAGAAGGTAGCCTGCCTCTATCCTGTGTCTCCAGTTTGGGGCTTCCTAGCTTTAAATTTTCAGTTTTAAAAACTGGCTTTTTAACTTCTACTGCATTTTGGTTGGTTTGTCAGTTTGTTTGTTTGTTTGTTTGCTTGTTTGTTTTTAATTCAGGGAGTTAAGTCATTTTTCATCTCCCCTCCATACCTGGAGTCCTGCAGGCTATAACTTAAGACCCTGTCATGGGGGCTACTGAGCTCCAGCTCCCACTCACCACTATGTTACTTTTTTGTTACTGGCACCTAGAGATTTTCCTTTACTTTTAAGTTCAAATATAAATTTATTGTTGTCAAATTGTGTACAGTATTTTTCTTTGGGCAATCGAATGGTCCTAACTGGGCTCTGTCAAGAGAATTGCCCCAGCTGGGTTGGGGCTCCCATTTGGATTCTCTTGAAGGAAGCTCTGAGCCTCTTTATTAGCCTTATCTGTAATGAGCCACCTTTTGTCTGGCACTAGCGGGATGTTAAAGAGGGCCTGTACATCTGCCCATATTGGGTGGTGAGCGGCAAAACTGGAGGTGATAAGGTCTGCCATTTTCTGAGGAGCTTCCCTATAAAGGGTTGGAATTCTTCCAATTCAGTAAATCTGAAGTGGAAAATGGAGTTTGGGCCCATCAATGGCCAGCTAGCTGCCCTTCTTGGTTTATTCTGCCTGTAGGGCATTGCCTCCAGGGGAGTTGTCCCACTCCAGATAGGAATGCTTCCGGGCTGAGTAGGGTGCCCTGCCAGATCTTCAAGGGGGAAACCATTTCTTCATCATGCAGGGATGGGGCTGTCACCTCTCTGGGCCCTATTTCAGGGGTATCTAGCAGCAGGGGTGGTGGCAGAGGAAATCTTCCTGCTGCTAATTCTGGGTCCCCCAGGTTCAGGGCATTAAAGAGACTCATCTCATTTTCCTTTTCTCACTGTGTCTTCCTGTCAGGGAAGGGCTTTAAAGCCGTTCCCTTCTCTGCATCATTAGGTTGTTTCCTTTCTTTGCCAAATCTTTATTATGTAAAGACATAAAGCCCTAGACATAAGGAATATTGTTTCATTTCCCTGATTATTGGAACAATTCCAACTGTATGATGGTGTAGTAATTTAGGAAAGCATATAAGGGCCATTTCCCCCTATAGTCTAAAGTATACACAGACCAAGCAGTGCTACTGTAGAAAACCAGTTCCATCTTAGTCATTGGGTGATAGCTGTACCTGGACCAATCTGCTAAAATCTGGCCGAGTGGGCTCCATTTAGGAGTAGGAACAGAACAGCCCTTCAAGGCACAAAAGTACAAACCCAAAACCATAACCATAGAAAGACCCCAGACAAAGTGGGAACATACAAACAACTTGGATCTGTAACCCCATTAGTCCAAACAAGCACTCACAAGCAAGTCCTAGCATCTTCTTCCAATTGATACCACAAGTGGTTCTGACCAAACCTAAAGGCACAAAGCCTGTGGGCACAAAGCCCAGATAGCAGGAATAGCCTAGGATACCCTACTAACTTGTACTACAAATGGTCCTAACCAGACTAGGATAGCCTACCAACTGATACTACAAGTGGTCCTAACCAGATTCAAGTGGCATGAAGCCCAGGTGGCAGGGATAGAGGACACCTGGTATGCATGCCACCAGGTAAGTTTGACTTACCATCTTGGCATTTGCTCCCCACAAACCTGTTTCCTTTCACCTTGTGGATAACTGGGCAAAGAAGTAGAATTGCCAAGTGTTTCAGGGTGCCGAAGCCTTGAGAAGAAGCGCAGGGAAATTTCCTCAGAAAAGCTCTCAGCAACTGCTGGAAAGTTCCCACAACCCCCACAAACAGCTGGGCACACAGCCCAGGCCTTCCAGGGCTTATCAGGGTCCACACTGCCCCCCACCAGAGTCACCAAAAACTGTAGCCAAACAAGTGGAGGTTTGGCCGCCCACTGCAATGAAAGCCAATTTATGAGACAGGTGCTGGGGCAAAAGGAAAGTTTATTCAGGTGCCATGACCAGGGAGAATGGTGGACTCCCATCTCAAACACCACACCCCCTATCTGTTCAAGTCTGTAGTTCTTACAGGGATTTTCTAGCCAATGATTGTGTTAATTTTTGGAATGTTTGGATCCTGTCAATTCACCTTACTAGCTTTCGTCATTCTCCCCGTAAGAACCTCCTGCTCCACCATCTTGGCCGATGGAGGAGACTCCCTGGCACTGTGACTGGCTGTCTATGGTAACACTTCCTTCCCTTTTTTCAGACACATAAAGACAAGATGAAGACGGATACATCAACACATATAAAGAATGGCCATCCGCCAAGTGAAGAAGGCATTTCATTTCCCCTTTGCATTTCACATCCTGTGAGCCAGAAGAAGAAGAAAGTTTACCGAACAGACCAGACCACCTTCATCATTGGGGAAACACCAAAAGGGATTCGTAGGTACGTCATCTGTAATAACATTGGACTTTTAAGAATAATTCTCAAAAGAAATATAGCTCCTCAGTAAAATAAAAAATTATTTTAGTTTTAAATATTTCTGGCACCCAAATGTTTTAGAAAATCTTAATTTGTATACTTTAAAAAATAAATTCCAAATGTTTTATGTGTTTAGAAGGCTGATCCATGAATTGATTAAAAAATGAAATTAATTTATATAGGTAAATGAAATACTTAAGTGAATTACATTTATTCACTCATTAAATATTTATTGAACACCTAATATGCACCCAAGCATAGTTCTGGGTGCTGAATATAGTATTTAAAAAAAGACAATTTACAGTGCAGTGGGATGGGGGTTGGCATTGGCCCATATAACTTAAAAAATAAAAATAGCATAAATAAATAATTATATAATGGTTTGTTATAAGAAAGGTAGGGACAAGCCTCCTTGATGAAGAATAATGGGATTAGGAGGGATGTACCTACCGTTCTGTTGGGTAGTCAAGTGTCACCTGTTGATCCACAGGTGACATTTAACTTAAGATTTGAGGGATAACAGGACAAAGAACTAGCATAAGAACATCCCTGAGAAGGAAGGAGGTTTAATGTGTTTGAGGAACCAAGAGAAGACTAGTGCACTTAGTTCATAATAAACTGAGCAGAGAGTGGCAGGAAAGGAAGACAAAGATATAGATGGTGCTGGAATACACGAAGCCTCATAGATTTGGGGGAAAGTTTGGATTTTGTTCTAAATGCAGAGGAAAGCTGTTGGAGCACGATATGATCTGACATGTTTCTAAAAGATCGTTCTAGTCTCTGTGAGGAAGAGGGCAGAGTAGACGAGGGGAGATCATAAGGAACTAACTAGGTGATTCTGATTCGCAGGAGGGTCACTGCCAGGGAGGCACAGCCAAATGAATGTGTTTGATGTTGGAGTGGTTGTTGCAGCAGAGAGAAAACAGAATTGCTCCCAACTTTCTGTCTTGAGCAACAGATTGGACTTACTGAATGGAGAAAACTAGAAGAAAAACAAGTTTGGAGTTTAAAAAAATTAAGAGTTCTCTTTTGCTCATATTAAATTTGAGGTTCTGTGAAAATGTTGAATAGACAATGGATGAGCTACCCTGGGATCTGGGGACTAGGATCTAAATCTGGAAGTCATCTGCACAGAGATTATAAATGGTGTTTTGAGCCATGGGACTGTGTGAACAGCCTAGGAACACAGCACAGAAAAGAGAGGAAAAGCCCCAGGACTGAGCCTGGAGGCACAGTGTAAGGTTCTGAAGTATGAGAAAAGTGAATTTCAAAAAGGAGGCGGCTCTTGACTCTATCAAATTCTGTGGGAAAGTGCCCACTGGAGTGGGCAGCAGAGAACTCATTGGCTGCTTCGACCTGAGCAGTCTTAGTAGACAGATGCTGGGGTGAAGTGGGCAAACGGTGAATAGGCAGGGCCTGCCATAGCTCTTTGAGTTCAGATATGAAAAGCAGCAGTAACCGGGTGGGATTGTGGGACCAAGAGTAGGTTGTTGTTGTTCTTTTGTTTTTTTAAAGATTTTATTTATTTATCTTTAAAGACGAAGGGAAGGAGAGAAGGAGAGAAATATCAATGTATGGTTGCCTCTTGTGAGTCCCCTGCTGGGAACTGGCCTGCAACCCAGGCACGTGCCCTGACTGGGAATTGAACCGCGATCATGTGGTTCTCAGGCCCACGCTCAATCCACTGAGCTACACCAGCCAGGGCCGTTGTTGTTTTTAAGTTGTCGAGATAATAGAACCTGTTTATGTATTGAGGGAACAGGCTAAGGCGGAGTGGGGCTGGGGAAGTGGAGATCATGCCAGAGTGAACGAAAAGAGTGAAGTGCTAGAGGCAGCAGAGGGTCCTATCCAGACCACTGGCCAATTTCCGGCCTTTGAGAAGCATTGAAAGAAAAGAGATGATGACAGGCACAGATATAGTGATATTTCGTCAGTTAAATGAGATTTAAACTCACCAATTCAGAGGGAGATAGGTTTAGGCAGAGGGAAGTTGTGAAATAAGTCATTTTTAAAGTAGGGAAGCAAGCCTAGTGGGACTAGAATTCTTGGGTAATATTAAGCCCTTGTTTGAGAGCAGTTCCAATAAAACTATCTGCGCAGTCATGCATACTTCATTCAGCAAGCTTCAATTGCTTAGTCGTAAACACAGAATAGAGAGATGGCTAGGTTTTGCTAGGGGTTAGTATGGCAAGAGAGAGAAGCAAGGTAGCTGAAAGGTGTTTGCAAAAGAGTGATTATAAAATTGAATATAAGCTCTACCAGGGGGTAATGAGAAAGCAGAAAAGTCAGTGAATTGAAGCACTTGATTTCAGCGTTGTTGTCATGGGGGTTCACAGTTGAGCTGGAGCACGAGATGACTGAGTCAGTGATATAGAGGTAGTACAGTTAATGGTAGTGGGTGGCAGTATATGACCTTGGGAAAAGGGGCCTGGCATGGGATTGAGTCTTTGGAGGTAAGCTAAAGAAATTGGTGGGCCAGGTGTCAGGTAGGACATCCACATGGATTTTGATGATAATTGTCAAGAATGATGGTAGGACCCCTGACTGGCATGGTCAGTTGCTTGAGTGTTGTCCCTCAAAGTGAAAGGTCTGGGTTTTGATTCCTGGTCAAAACCCAGGGCACATGCCTGGGTTGCAGGACCAGTCCCTGGTTGGGGTCGTGCAGTAGGCAACCAATCATTGTTTTTCTCCCTCCCTTCCCCTCTCTCAAGTAAATTAATTAATTAACAAAAAAAGAATGATAACAGGAGATGAATAGAAGCAACATTAATCCAGGATCAGTTACTAGCAGGAAAAAACTAAGGAGTCAGTTAACAAAATGCAGGAGAAAATGGTTCAGCTGGTTAGCATTAATCTTATAAAGGGAAAGGAGTTTTTAAGAAAACAATGCCCTGGAAGCAGCAATATGAAGCATGAACCCTGAGGTTGTGAGGTGTGAGCCTTGATTTGCAAATACAACATGGGAAGAAGGCAGTATCACAAGGCAACAGAGGGACCATTCAGCATAGGAGACAGGGGAATTGGTAGATCATAGCCTGGTTCCACAGGTGCCGAAGAATGGTCTGGAAGGTGGAGTATTGGATTAGTTCAAGGATGTAAAGAGTAGGAGGAGATGAGAGGCCAGTGGTTACGGTAAACAAGGAATAGGACTGAGGTAAACAATGATGGAAGACATGATTGAATTGGTCCTCATGGCATCTGGGGATGAGTGAGAAAGTGCTGGTGCTCTGTGGATTCCAAATGCTTCCCTCAGGGATTTGGCAACTTCCAGTCCTTACCTGTCCCAGGAAGGCTGGTCCCTCAGCTCCTTAGCTGCTGGTGTGGCGGGTTGGCTGTCAGTTGCCCACCTTTGCCCAGGAAGGTGAACTCCCCACACAATTGCAGCAATGCATCTCCTCAAACATTCACAACAATGCTTTTTGCACTTTGGGCAGTGATTTTGCTAGGAGGCTGACCATCTATGTTTTATCATTTTTGTGGAGCACATTGTCTTCATCCCCCTTAATTTGTTTATAAAAAACCTAAAATATTAACAATGAATAGTTTTTGCCTCTTTTCCTTTTTTCTCTACCCAGCCTAGGGAATAAATGCCTTATGCTAAGTAAAAAAGACAAAGGGGGTCTTTCTAATATTATTAGCATTAATATTGGCATTTCTAGTTAATATTGGCATTCTAGTACTAGAATGCCAATGTTTGAACCAGGCAATAATATCCAAACTTTCTTACTAACCATCCTACCTTTGTGAGAATCAGGACTGGTCCATGCTACAGCCCAGTGGATCATCTGAATGAAGTGTTTGGCCTACCTTTCCTTCAGAAAGCTTAGGCAGAGAAGAGATGATGGTTTTAGCTGTGTTCTATCCCTATTGCCCCAATTCGTCAAGAAAAAGGGGAGAGAAATTTTAATTTATCCATGATATATACCAGTCCGGAAATACTTGCTGAAAGATACCTATTTTTGGTTTCCTTTCTTTTTCTAAGTGGTACTCAAGTGTCTACACTAGTTTACTAAATTTTCCTACCCACTGGTTATACCTCACAGTTGCTTATTTTTGGAGAAAATTCTTTTAAGATTAAGAATTTTGAAAGCAAGTTAGAAGGCAAATAAAATGAATTGCAATCATAACTCCTTCTGCAAAAGGCAACCACACGGCATACTGACTTGCATACCACTCGAATCAAATGGGCTTGGAAGCAGCTCCCCTCCCAGAGGTGACGGAGTTGCAGGGTCAGGGGAGAGGTCGGTACCGCAAAAGCAAAAGTCCTTTGGCAGCTGCGGAGATACCACCAAGTCTTGGATAAATAAAAGACATCAGCCTGTAACCTTGCCAATAACTTAGTCTTCACAGCATAAATATTTATTAGAAAGACCATGAAAATGAATTTGGAGATGATTAATAAACAAAATAATACTACCTCTGTTGCTTCATGTGAAGTGAAAACTGGAATCATTTAAGAACACAGTGTTGTTCTCCAGCAAGAACACTGGCAATTTCCAGGACAGAAATTTGGAAGCTTGTATTTGTGATATTAAATATTCTGTTGATCAGGCAGAGGTTGCACCTAGATTTGAGCAGTTAATAGGACCCGTGTGGTAAGGACTAGAAGCCACAGTGCTCACCTGAAGCCAGAAAGGAAAGTGAGGAGTGTGCAGTGTGGATTGCCACGAAAATCAAAGGAAATGTAAACTTTACAGAACCTGATCTGGATGGCAAAAATAATAGTGACTTTAAAGTTCCTAATCACACACATAGAAAGAAATTTTTAGCCCTGGCTGGTGTAGCTCAGTGGATTGAGCGCGGGCCTGCGAACCAGACAATCTCGGTTCGATTCCCAGTCAGGGCACATTCCTGGGTTGCAGGCCGGTTCCCTGCAGGCCAGTTCCCAGCAGGGGATGCACGAAAGGCAACCATACATTGATGTTTCTCTCCCTCTCTCCTTCCCTTTCCCTCTAAAGATAAATAAAAAAAAAAAAAAAAAGAAATTTAGCCCTCAGGATTCTCTGTTCTGTGCAGGGTCAAACAAAAAAATGAAATTGGCATATGGAGCCCTCAATGATTTTCAGCCTCATTCTTGGAAGTTTCTCCCTCCCTTCTGTGCACCAGGTCCTCTCTGAGACTGCCTGTGTGTGTACCCTCTCTCTCTGGAAGGCTTCATCCCTCATCTTTGCCTTACCGGCCTGAGCCGACAGCAGAGTAGCCTTCCCTACTGCCTTGCCCCTTGCCAGCCACTGGTTTAGGTATCCCTGGTGTGGGTGCCCTGCACTAACCCCCGTTATGGGACTTGCAACTCTATTCTGGTTTGATTTTCATGCACCTGTCTCCCCCAGCTAGACTATAAAGTCCTTGAAGATAGGAAACTAGTTCTTGTTCTGTTGTATGGTTCCTACCACAGTGCCTAGCACCTAAGAGGGTTCTATAAATATCTGTTGAATGAAAAGAATGTTTTAAGAAAATGGTATATAAAATATAGATGTAATTCTAAAATTTTGGAACTTTTAATCATGTGCTGTAACACCATCTATGGCTTTGTTTAAAGGAATGTTTACTTTAGGCCTTCTTGACTCGTGGCCAAACTCAACATCAGCGAAGCCATACCCTCTGTCTTATTTAGTCTACTCAGGGTGCCATAACAAAATCCCACAGACTAGAGTTTAAATGACAGAAATTTTTCACAGTTCTGAAGCCTGGGAAGTCCAAGATCAGGGTGCCAGTTGATTTGGTTTCTGGTGAGGGCTCTTTGCCTGGCTTCCAGACAGCTACCTCCTCACTGTGTCTTCTCGTGACAGAGAGAGCCTTCTCTGGTGAATTCATTTAATCTTAATTTCCTCCTAAATGCTCAGGCACTGATGAAGTCTTTAACATGTAACTTTTCAGGGGACACAGTTCAGTCCACAGCGTCCCCACCTGAGGAAAGGAACAGAGTCTAGTGTCCAAGATCCCAAAACAACCCTTCTGCCTCCATCTTAACCAAGGTTGGAGAAGGCCCATTTCCCACATATGCAGACAACACTTTAATTCGCACCTTTTAGTACAAAGAATGAAACTTGCTTTTTGAAATAACATCTCCCGTCTTTTTTTCTAGTATTACAAAGGACATGTATTTTTATTTTGGTGCTTTTTTTATTCATTTCATTACAGTTAAAATTCAACATTCTATAAGTGTCATCACAATGACTGGATATTTACATAACTTACAAGGTGATACCTTGATAAGTCTAGCACCCACCTGGCACCACACATAGTCATTACATTATGTTGACTACACGCCCTATGCTGTACTTAAAATCCCTGTGACTATTTTGTAACTTCCAATTTGTACTTTTCAATCTCTTCATCTTTTTCACTCAACCCCCCCCAACCCCCTCCCCATCTGGAAACCATCAGTTTGTTTTTGTATCCACGAATCTATTTCGGTTTTGTTTGTTCATTTTTGTTTGTTTGTTTTTGTTCTTTAGATTCCACAGATAAGTGAGATCATCTGGTATTTGTCTTTCTCTGTCTGACTTATTTCACTTAGCATAATACCCATGAGGTCTTATTTCATGTTGTTGCAGATGGCAAGATTTCACTCTTCTTTTAATATGTTTTATTGATTATGCTATTACACGTTGTCCCTTTTTTACTCCCCTTTATTCCCTCCACCCTGTATCCCCCTCCTACCATCATTCCCCCACCTTAGTTCATGTCCATGGGTCATACATATAAGTTCTTTGTCTTCTCCATTTCCCATTCTATTCTTAACCTCCCCCTGTCTATTTTGTACCTACGATTTATGTTTCTAATTCCCTGTACATTTTCCTTCCATTCTCCCCATTCTTCTGCCATGCTAACCTTCTATGTGATCTCCATTTCTGTGATTCTGTTCCTGTTCTAGTTTTTTGCTTAGTTGGTTGTTTTGTTTTTTAGGTTCAGTTGTTGGTAGTTGTGAGTTGGTTGTCATTTTACTGTTTGTATTTTTTATCTTCTTTTTTTTCTTACTTAAGTCCCTTTAACATTTCATATAATGAGGAGCTGGTAATGATGAACTTCTTTAACTTGACCTTGTCTGGGAAGCACTGTATCTGCTTTTCCATTCTAAATGAAAGATTTGCTGGATAGAGTAATCTTGGATGTAGGTCCTTGCCTTTCATGACTTGGGATACTTCTTGCCAGCCCTCTTGCCTGCAAGTTTTCTTTTGAGAAATCAGCTGAGAGTCTGATGGGAACTCCTTTGTAGGTAACTGTCTCCTTTTTTCTTGCTGCTTTTAAGATTCTCTCCTTATCTTTAATCTTGGGTGATATACTTATAATGTTGGGTCCAACTTTTTTTTAAATTTTATTTATTTATCTTTAGAGGGGAAGGGAAGGAGAGAGGGAGAGAAACATCAATGTATGGTTGCCTTTCATGCATCCCCTGCTGGGAACTGTCCTGCTGGGAACTGTCCTGCAGGGACCTAGCCTGCAACCCCGGTATGTGCCCTGACTGGGAATCAAACCGCAATTATCTGGTTCTCGGGCCCGCGCTCAATCCACTGAGCTATACCATCCAGGGCCCTTGGGTCCAACTTTTTTGGGATTCTTTTAGCTTCCAGGACTTCCTGGAAGTCTATTTCCTTTGCCAGGTTAGATATATTCTCCTTAATTTATGTTTTCAAATAAGTTTTCCATTTTTTGCTCTTCCTCCTTCTAGCACCCCTATGATTCAGATGTTTAAACTTATCCTGGAGGTTCCTAAGCCTCCTCTTTTTTTTTTTTTTTTTGGAATTCTTATTTCTTTAGTCTTTGCTAGTTGAATATTTATTTCTTCCTTCTGCTCCAAACCATTGATTTGAGTCCGATTTCCTTTCCTTCATTGTTGGTTCCCTTTATTTCACTTTTTATAGCCTTCACTTTTTCATCTAATTTGCAACCATATTCAACCAATTCTGTGAGCATCCTGATTACCAGTGTTTTGAATTGTGCATCTGATAGGTTGGCTATCTCTTCGTCACTTAGTTGTATTTTTTCTGGAGCTTTGATCTGTTTCTTCATTTGGGCCTTTTTTTTTTTTTTTTTTTTTTTTTTTTTGTCTCAGTGGGCCTGTTACATAGTAAGGGGCAGAGCCTTAGGTATTGGTCAGGGCAGTGCAACCCACATTGCTTCACTGTGATGCTGTGTGTGGGGGAGAGATCAGAGAGGAGAAACTGCCATTGGTTCAGCTCTCAGCCAACTTTCAGTCACTTCCTCCACTACCCACAAACAAATTGGGCCCTTCTGGTGTAATTCACTGGTGGGTGGTTTAGTGTACTCTCTAGGACCCTCTGGGTCTCTCCAACAAACTTTCCTGTGAGGCTGAGAGTTTCTCCTGTTGCAGCCTCAACCTTCACAGTTGTTTTTAGTCAGAGGTTTGAGGCTTTATTTCCCCGGGTTTGGAACCCTGGGTTGCGAGGTCTTTCTCGCTCCCCAGTCGTTCCTCCCAGTTTATCCGCATGCGAATGTGGGACCACCCAGTCCTCAGTCACCACTTTGCCACACGTCCTCTCTACTCTGGCTGCATATCTCCCCTCCTACGACGGGTCTGGATGAATGTTTCTTCTTTAACTCTTTCGTTGATGGACTTCCTTCCATATAGTTCAGTTTTCTGGCAGTTCCGGTTATATTTTGTTTTTAAGTTTGCGGTCCTTCTTTTGGTTGTATGAGGAGACACAGTATCTACCTATGCCTCCATCTTGGCCAGAAGTCCTGTTTTTAATTTTTTGAGGTACTTCTGTGCTGTACTGTTTTCCACAGTGGCTGCACCAATTTGCAGTTCCACAGTGCACAAGGGTTCCCTCTCCTCCACAGCCTTACCAGTACTTGTTTGTTGATTTCTTGATGATAATCATTCTGACAGATGTGAGGTAATAGCTAATTGTGGTTTTACTTTGGATTTCTTTGAATAGTGACATTGATCATCTTTACATACATCTATTGACCATCTGTTTGCCCTCTTTGGAATAATGTTTATTCCAATCCTCTGCCAATTTTTTAATTGGATTGTTTAGTTTTTTGGTGTTAGGTTGTATAAGTTCTTAGTAAAC